TCTTGGAGCAGTATCAAGCAGATTTAGAAATGAAACGGTTCAGAATGGAAAATTATAATATTACAAAAATTACTCCAGATCAGTGTTTCATCATGAAAGTGCCATCTTTGGATAGTGAAAAACCTATTATAATACCAGATGATATTGTAACACTTTATGATGTACTTACAAAAGAAAAATATATAGGAAGAGTTACAAATGTGATAGATAATAATGTTACAGTACAACTGAAGAATCCTGCGTAAGTTCACTTTGATGTTTCTACTTTAATAGTTACAGAAGCTTGATATTCATTATCAAAGATACAATATCAACTTGTTAATTTTGATTTAGAGCAATGAAAATGAAAAACAATAAGTTCAATATAGGTTTCTATGGTAATTACTGGCCATTAAGATGTTGCCATTATGCATTGTCAATAGCAAGCAAACTTAATTTCCTCGATACATTGTATCCACAACAGACAATGAAAAGTATCAGCTTAAAATAGTAAGTTTTACCATAAAATATTTTATCATCTGGAGACATATTATTCTGGTATCTTATTGTCATAACTTATATATATATATATATATATGTATATGTATGTATATTATACAGTGACTTAGATTGGATGAATAGCACTATATCAAAGAATGAGCAGCAGAAGCAAGCAGTAACAAATATCTTACAAACGACGTCATGTCCTGCGCCTTACATACTTTTTGGTCCACCAGGCACTGGCAAAACAGCGACATTAGTCGAAGCTATATGTCAGGTAATTCTACATATGTTAATGTCCAATATTTGTGATAAAATAAGTTTTATTCTTTCCTATCTTCTGTTTTCTCAATTCTTTGGTTGTGAATCAAGATTGTAAGGCAAGATCCTAGCAAAAATATATTGGTGTGTACATCGTCCAATGCAGCGGCTGACGAAATTACCCGGAGATTAATACAATATCTTCCAGCCCAAATCATATATCGAATGTATGCACCATCCAGACACTGGTAAGACGTTTGCTTTTATGTACAAGTTTGTTTGTTGTTTTTCATTTTTATGATGTTTAGTTTGCGATATTGAATATCAATTTGGTGTAATACATGATATATAGAGTGCAACATACGAAAAGATTGGCATACTTGTAAATTAAACTTTTCTTCATTGAAATCAGGGAGGATGTAAAGAAAGAAATTCGAGAATGCGCAAATTTTGTTGGTAGTACACCTAACAACACTATCAGCATCTTCTTGCCAAAAGAGATATTAATACTGAAGAAGATTATTATTTCAACATTAATAACATCTGTCAGGTACAGATTCGAGATATTATTCTGTTTTTTTCCAAGTGCAATTAAATTTAAAATATAAAATTCTCGTATAACAATTAAAATAATAATAAACAATTTTTGCACAGTTAAAAAAGTGAGTAAATTGTTTCTCATGAAATTGAACACTGTATAAATGTGCATAGATGTATACAAATTTAAGTTGAGTTAAAGTTAAGTTTAAGATTTCATTAACAATTTTCATGGGAAGACACATGATGTAACGTCTTGTCCCTGTTTATCATAGATTGGCTGCCGTGAATTTTCGAGAAAATCATTTTTCTCATATCATTATTGACGAGGCGAGTCAAGCAACAGAACCGGAAACACTGGTTCCGCTCATTCTAACAAAGAACGCGGGTAAAAACGATATAACTAATTTTCATGCACAGATCGTTATTGCAGGCGATCATTTTCAATTGGGACCTGTCATCCGTAACAGATTAGCGGAAAATATTCTCGGCAAGTTTCCCCAAAGTAACGTTTCAATTACGATGTGATGCTCCGCAATCTTTTTTTATCTACTTGATATTCCGACAGGCAAGTCCATGCTGGAAAGATTGATGAACGACTGCGATGTCTACAAGAAAAAAGATGGAAAGTACAATCCGCACTACGTGACCAAATTAGTGAAAAATTACCGAAGTCACAGACATATTATACACGTGCCAAACGATCATTTTTATGAGAACGAACTAGAATGTTATGAACATGCCGATACACAGATAGCTCTGAACTGGAACAGGTTGCCCAATAAAAAGTTTCCCATCATCTTTCAAGAAGTTCTAGGTGTAGAAGAGAGAAGTGAGTCGCGCAGGTTAGTAATTTCAATTAAATATCGCATTTACTTACGCGTCATATCGCTCGAAGCTCGAGATGCAAGTCTCGAATGCCTTACAACAAACTTCTACGAAATGATTTCATTGTTCAATTGCATGCAATTATAAAAATGTTACCTCTTTAGTGTCTATAACACGGCCGAAGTATTCGTGGTAGTGGAATACGTGAAGATACTGATGAATACTAACTTCGGTAAACGTAAAATAACCCAAAGTGACATTGGAATCGTGACGCCCTTCAAGAAGCAGCAGTTGGAAATTAAGCGACGGTTAGTGGTAAAAGGCTGGGAAAATATCATGGTGGGGACAGTCGAAATATTTCAGGGACAAGAGCGAACCGTCATGATAATGTCAACTGTACGATCCAAGATCTTCACTCACAATGACGTACAGCACATTGGGTTCTTATCAAATCCGAAAGTACGTTGCCTTATTATCGCTCGTTACAATGCCCGTCTCTTCCAAGTTAACTCGCGTCTGAGATGATCAGGATTATCGCGTTCAAATGATCTTTTTAACGGTACTCCGGTGCACGAATACATTTGTGTATTAGTGTCGCGAGTATCAGCTAAAAGCATACATGTGTAACACTTTTTTATTTCATTACTTACTCTTTTAGAGATTTAACGTCGCCATAACACGCGCAAAGGCTCTTCTAATAATAACGGGCAACCCGAAAATTATCTGCACAGATAAACATTGGCAGGCGCTATGGGAATATTGTAAAGAAAACAACGGATGCAGACTCTTCGATCAGTGCCCGTTGGAACCAGCATTGAAAGCAGACTTAAAGAAATATTACGAAACTAATTTAAATAAGACCAGCGAGACGAATGCAGCTGTCTCCAACGAGGTTTCCATCCATATTGAAACTGATCTGATGAAAAACGTGAAAGGATTGGAGACCTTGACCAATGTATTAGTGTGCGGCATAGAGAAAGTAACTTTGAAGGAGTAACGGCGGATTTATGTGATAGCTTGATGAGTGATGCTTATGATTGGCTGTCAAGCTAGGGTAAATGTTCCTTTTAAGGAGTTACCTGAGTCAGCAAAGTATTATTGATTAGATGTAAAGAGGTGGGACACTTGAGGCTCTTGGTCTCTCGCCGTGGTGGTCTTAATAGATGATGACAGAAACGAGAAAACACTAAAAATCATGTTGACAGGCAAGTTAATTTTGGAGGTGTGTTTTCTCACTTCTGACATAGTTGATCAAAGTGGGAATGGCGAGGAAACAGGAACCTTAAGACCCAATTTTGTGCCGAGAAGACACCGACTTTAAAGATCACTTTTATGATCTTTAATCGCAGTCTATTTTTTTAAACAATACGCAATCTCGGAGTTAGCGTGATATGTACGCGGTACATGTACGACTTGTGATATTTTACACAATTTCATGATGTACAACCGGGGAATTGTTATGCGCGAATCCTACTTATTATGTGTTGTAACTTGGAAATATTTTTAATCATACCCAATGATCATGTTTTTTTCCGCAATTCCGCAAAGTTATGATTTACCATTTATATTATTGTTATTATACTGACTTTTGCTTTTATTGGTCGTTCGTTTTTATTTTACTCTTTATTTTTACTGTGAAGTTGATTTAATTGTTATCTGTCCGACAAAAATTAAGTACAATACTGTTCGATATCGATCAGTTTCGGAAAAACAGCGCGATTATATGTACGTCAATATGTGTTTGAATAAATAAAAACATATTTTTATAGAAAACTATTTATTTTTACACGAGGCAAATGATCCGGAGACACGTCATCATTTATTCATTGTGTTCGTAGTATTACGTATTCTCTCACCTATAGAAAAGCCTATTACTCGAGCAGCAGTTTAGCTTCGTTTCCGTTGACCTTCTTATTGTTACCGTGTTGCACCGCAAACTCGTATTTCAAACTGGCAAACAGGATGTCCGTTAGGAGGAAGATCTGCGCGATAGCGAACGCCAGCGTCACGCCGAAGTAGAAATTGGCGTTTGCCGATCTGGAATATATCCACTGATACCACACGGTTGGAGCGAAGACCGTGCAGAATAGCATGAAACAGCCTACGATAAATCCCTGTTGCATGTCTACAGAGAAGAATACAGAGATTATAAGTTAAAGCTGCAAGAGACGAATATTCCCATTAAAATCAATAATCAATCAAGATTAACCAAAGATGAAGATAATAAGTGAAAATTAACTAGTGATAATGACGACAGGCAAGGATTAATTAAAGTTAAAGATAATAAATAAAAATTAATTAAAAGTAAAGATAATGAAAATGAACTAAAGTTAATCATAATAAATGTCAATATAGCAAATATTAAATATTAGTAAATAAATATTAATATTAACTAAAGTTAAAGACAATAGATAAGGATTAAATTACTCACGCTGAAATAGATGTTTCCATAATGGCAGTAGGGATATATAGAATCCGACATCTCCGATGCACGGGTAGGATTTGAATATGGCAGTTATCGCTAGATACGAAAACGCTAATAGCATCGGGTCGCGTCGCAATCGCAGCGCCAGAGGGACTATGTACAATAAACTGACGTTTATCTGGAACGACGCGATGAAGAGCCACTTGAAGTGCTCGAACATCTCCGTGAAGAAGTACCAGTACAGCCCGATGTTGGGACGTAGGTCGGGAACGGTCAGGATGAATCCGACAGTGCTCCATAAAAACGACCAGCTTCCCATAATGCAGTAGGAAACGGCGAACAGAACTGCCAAGATGCTCACGAACGCGACTAGCATTGTGATGATGCTGATTTTCTTGGTCTTATCGCTTGCTGCGCCGGCGACGTAGATAGCCGCCGGCACCATGAGCGATACAGGGTAGAGTTCTTGCAGCGTCAACAGCGCTATCGACGCGCAGCTCCACAGGATGGAACGCCTCGTCATAGACACCAGCGCAATCGAGTACAGCAAATTGGTGAACACTGTGGTTGTGAGGCCGACACAGTTAAGTATTATATAAGGATTAAACAGGTATGCCGCGGAAACATACAGGGCTGATACAGTTGAGACGCCTTCGCCGAGCTTCTTCTCCTCGTCCTTTTCCATTTTTTCCTCTTTCCTTCTCGTTGCCTGCAACGCGAAAGCACATTCTGGTAAAATATAGATTGATTGTGCAAAGCACTTAAATTTTATTATATCCAAGTTCTTTGTATTTGTGTGTTCACATGTCCACTTCATTTTAAACTGACCAATTCGATTGCATAGTGCTTCGCGGTGATGGTGAGGCACACGGCTGTTGTCAAGTCAGTGACGATGAATAGCAGAAACAGTGCCCATTGAGACAGATGCTTCTGCATAAAACCGAACACATACAAGCCAATCGGTGTTTCGTGAAACAGATCACCTTCATAAGGATCAATGCCAAAGTTGTACAGATAAATCCCTTCTGTCACTGAAAAAGCAAATGCATCAAATTAGAACTATTGCTACTATAATGAATCTGCCTTCATCAATTAATCAATTAGGACAATTAAATCCTCATCTTCATGTAATTAGAATCAAGTCCTGGACTTTCCTTCAATACTAGAAGTACCGAGTAGTCATTCCCAGCTGTTTCTGTTTTTTAAATGAATATTGTATTTCTTGTGTATGTAAAAGATAGGATCTGAAACTCTATAATTTTTCAATTTCATTAATAAAGGGAAAGCTTAATAAAGGGAATAATGAAAGATTACATAAAATTTGAGAATCTTTTCACACACAAGAAATTAATCTAAAAAATATAAACACAGAAATGGCAGGAAAAAAAATGCTAGATCCAAGTAAATAATTTCCTCCGACACTCCTTAGCAAATTTTCACTTGGATCAATGTTATTGATCCGAGTGAAAATATATTTGCCGAGTATTGGAGGAAAGTTATTTACTTGAATCTGGCACTTTTTCTGAACGAAGCAGAGCAAAGCTGAACCAAACCAAACCCAAGCTAACCTCTCTTCCAGGAGTTCAAAGCGGTGGACACTTCAACGCGGTTACTGATGATCTTCTGGTATCCAGAGTTCATCAGCAGCCATCTGATGGTGGCGGCCAGCGCGAAATTCGACAACCACTTCCTCGACATTTTATCCATCGCGGTCCCGCACTACGACCGATTCATTTGCTCGCTCGCCTGTAACCTAGCAATGAAGCAGCATTCCGACGAGTACGTTTCCTCGCGAGACGCTACCGACTCTTGTTCTTATCGGTAAACCGATATTCTCATGGATAACCACTCCTACTTGATTCTCACTCGTATTCGTGTGATAGCGGCATTTATTTGAAATCGCGACGTTCCGTGGAGAGAGAGATCAGGTCGTGGCTAACGACACCGTCAACATCGTCACACGTCTCGATGACGCTGCTGGCACTTTGACACTCGCTCCGTGATGCAACACGACGGACACAATCCAAATATCGAGACTGTGTCAGCGATCTCCTTGGTCCCGCTTTCGCGTTTGCCTTGAAAAAGTACGAAACGACGTGCACCTATCATTGCATCTCCATTGCCAATAGAGAACACACACCATCCACGAATATCACAACGCCGACCCCCATTTGAAACGTTTGAAACTACACATCGATTTGAATGAAACTAAAAATATGGAAAACTTAAAAATCGTTTAAGCGGCTAGTTCCTTGAGAAGATAGCGCGCGGACGGTAAAATAAAATAACACAATCACGGTCGAATTTTTTAATTAAAATGAAGTACAAGAATGAATGCCGAAATCGGCATAAAAAAATGTGGAACGCTTCACGATTTTGCGTGTCATCCTTGCGCAGGGGCCATGCTAATCTTCTCTGTATCGTTCCAATTTTAGTATATGTACTGCCGAAGCAAGTACGATAGAGTGGTCAAAAGAAGATTCTTATATACTCAATAGTATCTTCAAATGTACTAACGAGAAAACTACATCCACTTGAAAGCCACCTAGTGACAAGTCATTGTATTACTCTTACATCATAACCTCAGAAGCGGTCGTCACTGCTTCGGTCAATTCGACACGAGCGAATAAAAATCTGGAATAATCAATAGTGATCGGTTTAATCGAAGATACTGGTTTTTCAATGAGAAACGATATCGTATCTTAGTGACAGTACATCCGATTTTGAGGATTTTTATTTATCTTGTACTTCAACGTTGTAGCTGTTTGAAGTTTGTTTTTTAATGCGTTTTCTTTTTATATTATATATTAAAACTGTTATACCTCTCTGTTCTCTGTCTAATTAATATCAAAGACTTGTACTCTTCTGTGTATAGATTGGGAGCTATGCGGTTGGTAGGCTGGAGGTACCATACATTTGTCGGAGGTTTCGTAGGTCTCATATTTTTACATTGTTACGTTACCATGATAAGGCCTATGATGGATCCCGCACCATACAGTACTTGTCTTTCTCTAGAAAATTACCGAGTGCTCAGAGTTCGCATGCAACACCACCATTAACTCACGATTAATATATTTTCAGAAAAAACTAAAGAACGAGCTTTCGCAGACAAGCCATAGATTATCTTATTAAATTAATCTGGATAGTTGTAAGATGGGGCGTATCGACTGTACATGTTACACATCTCCAATATTACAAACATCCTGCAGCGAAGAATAGGTATGATAAAAGAGAATACACCGACTGTTGTACAAAATAAATGTCTATTAATGTTCCTTGCAATTAAATTAATTTTGAAAAGTACGTTAGTCGTGAAAAAAATGTTATAATTTGCATACGGTAATATAATTCGCGGAATACAGTTGAAGCGTACTTTACAGCACAACAATATAATTTTTCCTATCACAAAATAACTTATTTCTACCATAATCAGCGCGATATTCGATCGTTCAAACAATTATCACGTACAAGAAATTTCGTTCGTGTAGATCGACTAGAAATTTCATCGCTAGTACATAATCTTATAGCTGTGCGCACGCGCATTGTGCACGCACGTACGTACGAGACGTAGGCCTTGTGTTAAAAATCATTATCGTCGCAAACATCCAGGAAGACATCAAATGCTTGCCGATTGCAATTGCCTTCTGCGGTGAACACATACTTGTGGAACGTTCCGTCCATACATATAGCTGAAAAATTACAAAATGGCACAGAATGCGACCCAATCGTCGGAAGTGATTGTAAATATCTTTCGAACAATATCGGAATACCTATCACAGAATTACGTGCGCCAAACGCACAAACGCACGCACATTCGGGGGGTACTGTGAAGGTAGCCAATGCCCACTGACTCTCAACATAGTTGCCCAGAAAGCCCATCTTTGAGAAACTGAAAATGTAAGAAACCGTCTTCACAGTACATGTAATTTGCGTGAAAACGCATGTTTGCTGTGTGAAGATATTTACATACGTGGATCGTCGATTTAAGCGAGTATCTTTTAGGGCGAATATATGCACTGTTCCCTTATCGCTAGAGGCGCATAAAAATTCGGAATCCCTGCTGAACGTTATGCTGAAAGAGACGCGGAAAGATTAGCACTAATGAAACGGAAAGACCACCACTTATCACTAACAAGAATCATAATTTGGTAATAACGAATTACTATTATACTGAATTAAAGATGTAAATTATGTATAGTTATTAATGTAGATTGTACAATGTCAGTTGAAAAAAGTGGCACTTTTACTTCGGCAAATCAATCAGAACAGATATATTTAGTAGGGAGAGTTATTTTTTGGGGATTACTGAAAAAATTTCTCCTAATGGATACCGGATACCTTCTGAGATTCATCGAGGTAAAAGGTATTGCAGCCTTTTGTACATTATAATACAGAGTAATAGAGAGAACGTTAATTACATTATCTGTGATTTGATATTACCAATAAAGTGTAGCAGGGTCGGCGCCACGTCTCAATTCAACTAACAAGTGCCTTCGTATAGAGTCCCATACTCTGACTAGGGTTCCTTGAGCGGAAGCGGTAGCAACCATAGTTCCGTTCCCGTTGACCGCCAAACAGGCCAATGCACCCTGTCGGCACAAACGGCGTGTGTAAACACAATTGCTAAGGAAAAGATATAACTTATCAATCTGTTAATTGCAATACTTGATGCGCGGCGAGAGTCACGGGCGCACTGGAACTTCCAGCCTCGGTCGCACCGAGATCGAGCAGCTGCACACTACCAAGCTTGTGGCCGGGGAAAGCCAGCAATTGTTTCTGCGCTGACGCGAGAGTCGCTATTTCTACAAGACCTTTCGGGTTGTCCCGCGTTTCTAGCGTCAGTAATCGCCGAGTGGGCGTGGGAAACGAAAAGACATGGATCTCTCGTTGGAGCGCCACTATCATTCTACGATGAAAGATCACTTATGTATACACCACAACCAACATATTTGCATACATTGATATAAAAAACAGTAGACTATTCACCAACGGCTACTTACTTATCTCGTCGCAATCTGACCGCCTTAATGGGACCGGTGAAGGTAACTTCCATGACAAACTTTTTCGACAAGTCATCGTAGATCAATACAGTGTTATCGGCGAACTTGGCACGCGTCCCGCCACCGACCACCGCGATCACGTTTGTCCTCCAGAGCATCTCTGCCATGGCGATGCTCCCCATCAAGTCGTTCTCGAAGTGGGCTTTCTCGACCAGAGGCTCGACATTGTAGATCCTCAGCCCAGACTCCATGCAACACATAAAGCATCCTGTGGAAATACACCGATGGAATGAGAAAAACAAAATCATGGTTTGGATGTTCTGTCAAAATCGACCTTTACCTTGATCCTGGTTGAATCTTAGACTGTGTATGCCTCTAGCAGCCATCGTCACCCACGTGCTTTGATTCTTGACGTTATCAACGCGTCCTTTTGTTCATGTCCTTATCACAGGCATGATGCATTGTCTGTAACAGTGATACAGAATGGTCACAAAAATACAACGAATTTCCCCGTGAGAGAATTCGAGTATTTCCTAACGATAGATCAGGCTAAATCCGTAAAGCAGACTTATCGAGAGAGAACAATTAACAGTTATGAGTAATTCGTGTATCGTAATAAAGGTCGATCCAACATCATTGTCAACAAAGGCGAAAAGAGAGAAATAAATTGATCAGCGTTAATCAGCGCACGTTATCGACGGTATTCAGAATTTCTGCGGAAAATCATTTCTTTGACAGTGGTTTAAACATTGAACCTCCACATGTCTATTATTTACAGTCAACAAGTGCTTATGATAACAGCGCACACGACAGCATACCTCCGCAGTATGTTGTTGTGTTATAAATGGCTCGCAAATTTAGTAGTAGGGGTCCTTCCTTCCTTCCTTCCTTCAATAGGTGGCTCCAGGGGTCTGATCAAAGGCTCATTTCCAACGTAGCAGTAGAGATAGTCAGTCACCAATCGACGTTCCATTCTCTATATTTTAGAGAAATGAATTATCGTTTCGATGTTCCCAAATTTCATCGTTCACTGTCGATAATTCGTTCATTTTTCGGCTGCCGGATTTTATTGCTTCAATCCTCAGAATCTTTTCATACAAATTACCAATCGCAATCAAAGATTGCAGGTTATAGAATTCGACGAATCAACGTGTTTCCTCGCTTGGCTCGCTTTATCCCGATTGGTCAAATTCCAATCGTCAGTGTGCGATTCTCAGTCTCACGGTATGAACGAGCTTAGCGTTTTACTTGGCGTCATCTGTCAAATGTATTTTCAACGTATTGTCAGTAGCCTGACAGATGACTCGTCATTCGATTTAGCCTGTAAATAATCGTTCTCATCGCGTGTGTATTGCGTTTGATGTCCAAGCAACGCAAGTAGGACAATTTAACATTGGGCTCAGGTGGAAATGTCATTTCTTGCGAATACCTGAACGTGTTAATGTCATGGCGAGTTCCGTCGACGAGATAAAGGAGCCGTTCTCCGTGAGCGGCAGAGGAGGTAACCTTTTTCCGTCCGCTAATTCTTTCGGTAAATTACACTGGTAATTGTTTGATTAGCTCTAATAAGCGCTAACATGCGAGCTATGTTGTAAAACTTTCTGAAGGGAAGCAGCAACCGCGAGACATTATGTGAATTAATGTTGTGCGCTTAATAACCTTTTCCCATATATATGCGGTATCGTATCGTAGGTTGCCTGGCTCCTCCGAAAGCACTACTATCTTACGAAGAAATAGCTAGAAAGCTTCTCGACGAGAAGCTTTTCTTAACGGCTTTAGAATTGCACGCTGAATTATGCGAGGTTGGTAAGGAACTACCAGTTCTCAGAGAATTTTTCTCAAATCCAAACAACTTTGAAAATTCCAGTATCAAGCCAGAACCATACACACCCATGCGTATGTATTTTTTCCTCGAGGAAATCTTATAGATTTGAAATAATTTTAACGTTTTAAGATATTTTATGTATCAAGACTTATTTACTTTTTAAAATTTATAAGTTATAAGTTTTGATGTAAATACCTGCTTGAAATCTTACAGAATATTTATAAAATGAAAATTTGTACAATAAAATTTAAGCCAATTTCATTCATAGCCGTCTGTATGAAAAGTTTTTAAATATTAACAATAATACTTTAAAAATTCTATATTTGTCAGCAAATATAAATTCTTATTTTTCATTAGTTATACCATTCAATCGTAATAAATAGACATTACTGCTAAATGAAACATTGTTATATATTAGCCAGGTCCTCTAGTCAGGCAACTTTGGATTCTTTGGACATGACTCGGTATTCGGAAGATGGGGCTGGTGTTGACGAAAGAGTAGCCATTCTTGAATTTGAGCTACGCAAGGCCAGAGAAAATATCTCTGCGCTACGTGCTAATCTAACTGTGGTAACAGGTATGCTTTTTCATTTTAATAACAAATTATTTTTATATATTGGTTCATAATGTACTTTACATTAACCTTCTGTGATAAATAATGTTTTAGAATCGGAAAGTACATTAAAGGCACCTGACAAGAGTTCTGAAAAGAATTTAACTACTGAACTTCCCATCAAACCGCATGAGCAGCGAGCACTGAATTTTCTCATCAACGAGTATTTGCTGGCAAGGTCTTACAAGCTGACTTCGATTACCTTCAGTGATGAGGATGAAGATCAAGATTTTGAAGATTGGCAAGATGTAGGATTAAATATCCCCAAGCCTGCGGAATTATTACAGATATACAGGGAGTACATGAGAGCCAATGGGCATGATAAGCCACCGTCTGTAAGCGTTGCTGTACAAACTGACTTTATCGTCGAAGAGCAAATTGTGGAACGAAAGGATGAATTCCTAGAAATGGTTTGTTACCTTAAAGTTGTTGGAACGCTTGCTTGCGATGTGTAGCTTTTTCACTCCATGAAGCGAATCCAGGAATTTTTGTGCTTTTTATAGGCAGAACAGCTCGAAAGATTACAGCAACAGACAACGGTATTGGAACAGGAGAAAGCTGCTCTCCAGGAAATAATATCATCGTCCAATGAAAATATAATGGAAAATCCAGCTAAAGTACGTTAATTAGTAATGCAGTGCCTTAAGCTACTTTCGTGATCGATAACAGTTTGAAAGTTTGAGTAGACAGAGATTGGATAAATCGTCTTCCGCTAGTTAAATTATAATCATTTTCTCACACTCCTGTATATTACGAAGAATTATTTAGTTGTTTTATTTATAGTCGGGTAGCTGCGGAACTATTCGTACCATCAACTCCAGTTCTACAACTCCCGACAAGTTTGAAATGTTAGAATCATTACCGAGAGACATATCGGCCGCCACTCAGGAACCGGAAGAAGACGATAGTGCTTCTGCGGTAGTTAGCCTGGACGAGACAGATCCAGGAGACAAAGAATGGACCAGGCTGCAGTTACCCAGAGTAAATATTATAGAGCGGTCCTCTAGAGAGGTTCTATCAACCACATCCTCCAGGTTATATATGTTATTATACATATTTACGTATTATCGAGATATATCTCACCGATAGTAAGGCTATTAAATCAAAGATTAATATTAATAATTATTGATAAAGTAAACGGAACAAAAATAAGTGTGAGAGTAACGTAAAGCAGTATAAATAGCAGATGATACTTTACAAAGTAGCCAAGTAGTAATTAAATGTATATACAAGAGAGTACACGAAGATAAATTTAAGGAATTTTAGATTGTTCAATTTCAAGTGTGTATGTGTTTTCGTGAACGTTGCAGAAATTTGCCAATGAAATTCAAATTAGAAGTAGCGACGCACTGCTTGGCGAATATATCGGAATCGGTGATGTCCTCGGTGGAAGAATCCTTGAAAGGCGGAGTTACCCGGGACACGTTGGTCGAGATCCTGACGTGTACCTTGCCGCGAGTTGTGCCTAACATCATCCTCAACAAGCGCGAAGAGATCGTTCCGTTGATTCTCAGCGCGATCCACTTGCACCCGAATTCCGGTGAGAGGGAGAAGCTGCTGCAGCTGCTGTTCAACTTGAAGAAGAGGCCGCAGGAGGACGAGCGGCAAATGATATTGGCCGGTTAGCGCATTCAACATGTATACGGCTTGATAATATATTAGTGATGAGTTACGCAATAACAGTTAGTCATTTAGCTCCAAAGAGAGGAAATTATCACGATATATCTCGCGTTGATGTACGGTTCTACCGTCATAGTTTAAATTTAACCGATGATTAACTAAACGGAATTGACTAATTCGATTGACTAAATCGAATTGGTCAATTCAGCTAATGGACCAATTAGATCGATTAGATTTAAACCATGATGGTGGAGCCGGGCATGATATATTTATAACGTGAATAAATTGTTTCAAGTCAGATCGCTTACCATTCTTGCATTCTCAGGTTTAATCGTGATGGTGAAGCTGGCGGAGGAGCCGCTGGAGAGCGAGGAAATTCTCACGATCTGCTGGGAGCAGAGTCAACACAAGTATCCGGAACGGAGACTATTGGCCGTCGAGTGTTGCTCCGTACTCGCGTCGTATACGTCGGCTTCCATCAGGAACTCGCTGATGCTGTCCATGCTACAGCAGATGTTGTTGGAGGATAAGGATCCCGTTGTCCGAACCAGCGTCGTTAGAAGCCTCGCGCTACTCATAGCTCTGATGGACGATCCTGACAAATATTTCCAAGTAAATCTGACGGCTGTTTCATTATTTTACGTAATTTCACAGGAGATTTTTCTAATACTTGTGATTGCGATATACAAGGTGTTTAAGAACTATAATATCTCAACTCTTGATTGGTCAATTTTTTTCTAATTGTACGAACAATTAAATAACATTTCAATATATATGCAGTGCAAGTTTCACCGAACTCTTATTAAACTTATTTCACTTTTACAACTTTCTTTAAAGTGGAGTAACTTTTAATCCAGACTCTGAATTACTGTCAAACTTTTGACGTCACTTTTAAATGCAACGTAGATGAATTTATAATTTTTTCATTATTTTAACGGGCAATATATCATTAAGAAGCAATGGGATCCCTACTGCATTGAGGCCGTTATCTCGTGAAACATATTCTACATATTAATTAAAATATTTTCTCATTGCTTGCGCAAGTTTCACCTATTACTTCGTTCTAAGAAAATTTAGATAAACTATTTTTAGCCTGGCTGAAATACTACCGCCTCTTAAACCGATATTAATAGTCGATCTTATATTTAACGTCGTCCTAAGTTCATATTCAGATATTATATTAATCGTTTCATTGACTACAATGCATCTGGAGATGAACTTAAGATGATTTCAAATTTAGGATCCGCCCTTAATCGTTATAACTGCTTTCGATAGTTCATTTTCTAACCGCTACGCGGCGTATTTCTCTCGCATTCAGTTTCCAGTACCAAACTCGATATAAAGTCGACCGACGGCAGACAAGGCATCGCTTCTCGGCACTATGTGCTAAGATCAAAAGTGTAGTATCTGTTCTTATCAGCTTAATATCTGATACAACCCCCATAGGGGGTTCAGAATATTGGGTGATTTTTGACAGTAGGCGGGTACCAGGAAGCTTGCTTCGGTCCTGCCGTTTGGTCGTCCTGGCATTGCACTACAGCCGGGCTTGGCCTCTTGATCTAACTCAAACATAATAAATCTGGATTTGATTAAAACCTTTTAATACCCTAGAGCAATTCTTGGGTAAAAAATCATTCTTGAAAAAGAATGAGAACAGGAAAGAATCGAATAGAAAATTATATCTCTCCACGGGTGCGGAGGAAAAGAGATATTTCAACATGTATACGCGCTGTGCAAGTTTCATCGAACTTTTGTTAAAAATGTTGCAAATTACAATCTACTTTAATGGTTGAATAATTTTTGATCCAGGCTCTGAATTATTGTCAAACTTTTGGTGTCACTTTTAAATGCAATGGAGATCCAATTTGTATTTTTTTTCATGATTTGTCATTATTCTTTTCATAATTTTCATAATTTTCTCATTATTTTGCGTTATGGGACAATACATACTTAAGAACACGTCGGGAAGGTTTCTTGACAAAAATTGATTTTCTTGGTGGGACTTTACTATTCCCTAAAATTTATCCACGGGGTCCTGAAACACCCTTATAATTTTCATTGTTACACAATGTATTATTCTAAATTCACACGCACGTGTATGTATATGTTTATGTCATCGCAGTGCGAGGAACTGGCGTTAACAGCACTCCATGACACGTCGTCGATGGTTGTCGAGACGGCGTCCTCGGTGTTGTTGCCAGTGTTAGCGCAGTGGGCGTTATCCTTGAAAAGGTTGCACCTGAACCTGCTGCCGCGCATTATTGCGAAAGTGAAGAACCAATTGAGACCGACGCAAAACTCGCCGAACAAGGACTACATCGACGAGGAGAAGCTGGTGCCGTCGGTCGGTATTCTGCAGTGCATCTTGCCGTACATGGTCCTGTGTGTCGCCGACAACGACGCTGTGCGATCCTGCATCGGGAACGCAACGTCGTCGGACTTGCGTGAGTTGTAGAGTAATTGAATTATGTAAATCACTCAGGTGGAGGGTGAGATTCGCGCGCGCGCGGGATCTCGTCGGCACTTGCGCTTTGGGACGATGATTCTCGGCACCGTTGTGAGTAAAGAGGTTCATCACGAGCTAAGCCGGTAAAACGATGACGAATTTTGTTCGGCGTAATTATATTAAGAACAGCAACTGGTTCGATTCGAAAATCCGAAAAAAGTAATCTCCCGGTAAGCAAGAAATCACTAACACAACGTCATTTACAATTATATTTTGGAACATAACGTGGAACGGTTTTAAATATATAGTTCTTAATGTTGTATATTATATCATTGTTGACGACATTTGTTGACCGAAACATTAAAAATAATATTTTCACATTACTATTTTAGTATCTAAGAATTTTATATTATTAAGTAACAGTTTAAAAACGTTAATAAAATATGTCAAAATGTTTACAGAATTCACATGAAATCAATTTTTCAAAAGATGATTTAATTCTTTTCTCACTTACCGGGCTCCTTTCAACTTCACATTTTCGAATTATCCCAGAATTGTCGAGTGCTTCAAGTTACGAGGGAAAAGTTTGGAGAGAAAGATTCGGAAAATTTCGAGGATATATTTCTCCAATTCGTAGCAGCGAGTGTCGAAAGATTTATCGCGAGAAACTTGAACATGGAGAAAATTTAAAGATTGCAGGACTCGAAGACTCGAGAAAGAACTCGACGAGAGTCGAGAATATTGCGTTAGCGTTTTTTGCACGAAGCTTATAAGCTCGCACAAAAACAAAAGCACAAAAGTTTTCTAGAAAACTTTGTGGTGCAGCCGAGGAATTTCTGGACTTGTGCCATTCCAACATCGTCGACCCGAGGGTATTCTACGAGGGTCCCGTCAATGTCGGCGTTCTCCTGAACACGTTTTTCTCCAAATCCTGGGAGGATATGTCCTGGCCGGAATTAGAATGGTTTTCAACTAAATTGTAATTATATCATTCTTTAAGTAACACGATATACTTAAGTCTGCCTCGCGAGCACCGTATTTTTTGGCGCAGTGATCACCACTGATGTAGTAATTGAATCACGAAAGTCGGTAAATTAAAATTAAGAATGCAAATTTCCCGACGCGCTTTGGCCGCTCTCGACTCCCAAGCGACTACTTTCGGAACGCATATCTCTCTTTTGCAGGGTATTCGATGTCTTGGAAATGGTGAAGTCCGTGGACGCGACGCACGAGAACGTTTTAAAGACCCTCCTTACATACATTCATTCGTTGTGCGTGAGCTTTGGCAGGTACATTACGCAATCTAAGGTAAATATATGATTCCATAATTAACAGCCAGACAGATGGTTTGATTTAATTTGGATTTGCTTCCGAAGTTTCATAAGTATTTCAATTCGCCTCTTCAGGTCTCGGGTCGTTTCTTTTTCTGGAAAAGTGATCTGAAATATTCACGAAACGTCAGGAACTAATCTATGAAGGATATGACGCTAACTCGGAAATCTAAAATATCCGTTAGACCTTGAGAGATATATCTTTGTTGGATTTATAGTTTTAAAATTTCGGAAAAATAGTTTAAAAATTTCGGATTTATAGTTTTAAAATTTCGGAAAAAAATCCATTTTTCTCTCAATTATTTTCGGTTTTGTCCTAAGGATATAAAAATTCGTTTAGAAAAATTTACTTGCGTTCGGTTAAAACCTGCCACGTTAATTTTTTTTATATAAAAAAGGTAAGAAACCAAGTAAATCTACGGAAAAATGAGAAAGAAAATTGGTTTTTTCCGAAACTTTAAAATTATAATTTAATTATATTCGTCACATTCTGAACTTTCTTACTCTTTGTTCCCAAAGCTTTTCTTAGATTTTAAAATATTTTATTTATATGGGCACTAATAACAATGATTAGTAAGTTTTTATGAATATTATTCCGCAGATACAAGCGGTGTTTTTCCCGGAAGTGTCGGAACTCGAGAAGCAGCTTACGGCATTATCAGCAGACAAGAAAAGTATGAGCCTCATGTTGATCCCGAGTTATCTGGTGATTCTGAGCACTCTCGACTCCACGGAACTGATCGACTACTTCAAGCAGTTCCTTGTGATCTTATCCATAAGCGGTACCAGTATATCCTGGCTGCACGTCGCTGCGAGTATTTTGTGCGCTCGGGAAGAAATGCAGGAGCACGTGCTTGTTAGTTTGTGGGACGGTTCGTGCGATATTCTCCTTTCTATCGTAACGTTATCATAACGTTATCACTACGATGATTTACGAATATTTACAAAGCAACATTCAAGTCGACGTAATAGAACAAAAGAACAAAAGAAATATAAGATATATTTCCCCTTTAAATGTTCAAAATTTAAGGTAACGACCCGTATTGTTAATTCATTTTCTTCGTTTTTATATTTTTATTATATTTATACTTTGTTTTAAAAATGACATACAAAGTGTCTCGTTAAGTGGGACATCCGTCATATACTTATAGTTTATTGTATTGAACAAAGAAGTCTTTTACTCTTTCATAAACGACTACGTAAAATTTTTAGTTATTAATTTTTAAAAATTATCATATGTAGAGGACTTCGTATATATGTACGGGTCGTATATATATATTTTTTTTTTCGTATATATATACGAGTCGTATATATATATATATATTTTTTTTTTTTAATTCGTAGTAATAGAATAACAAACTCTTAATTTTCTCGTTCCGCATTTTTTTCTCGCAGGAGTAGTGCATCCGCGATCCAGTGTAAGGTGCGCGACGGCAGCGCTGTTCGGCTTCATCATAGGCCACGTCTCGGACCGGCTCGCGAACTCGAGGATCGTACCAGCCATCGTAACATTAGCTAGCGATCCCGAAGTGTGAGAGAACCTTCTCTGTTTTATTAACTTCTCAAAAAATCGTAATCACTCTGTGTCATAATAGTAATCTATAAACGATGATGACTTCGATGATCCGTTCACGAACATATTACATTCTCCGTTCTCACACGCTGTGCGATACAATCGAATTAATTCTTCTTCAGTGGCGTGCGCTGCGTAGCGATTTCCTCATTGGGCCGTATAATAACGGAATGCAAAGTGAGAGAAGCCCGTGACAAGGCTCGATTGACGCTGGAAACGATCGCGAAGGACCCTCAGGGACTCTCTCAGGCTCTCGCGACTTCGTTGGTGTCCACGTTCGCGTTTATAGCGCCGAATTGCCCGCAGATTTATACAGAGGACAGTAAGTAAACGCTAAAACATCTATTTCCCGCATGTACGAAATGATGAGTGCGGAACTTCTCTTTTCCTCTCACACACACGTACACACGCGCACACACACACACACACACACACACACACACACACACAAAATGTTTCAACGACAAATCATTCATGCATTCTCGTTCATTTCTCCGTGTCGTTCTCGTCGATTGTTTTAGTTCGGATCTAAAATAGATGTAGCGAACCTCCAGATTTTTGCTCTAGGCAATAAAATGCAACATAATTTTTGGCAAAAGACGTTTTTCCGCACTGCCAAAAGTCGCAGTAACGCTGAAACCTTTGGAATCGCAACGGCTGGTAACGTTGGAAGCACCTTCTGCTGGAAATCACGTTACAGTTTATATGCTTAGAGCAAAAAGCCAAAAGTTTATCACCTATTGTATAGATTCAGCCTACTTAGACTCATTACCTTTGTACCACACTGAATTGTTGCTTTTGATCGCAGTAATAGCGACGCAATTGTCGGCCATCGCCGCATTCGCACTTCAACAGAGTCGCAAGATCGAACTGGTGAGCGCGTTAGTGGAGGCGTACTCGGTGTTGGTTTATTGCCCATTAAGTGGTCAGTGCGTTTCCGGAGTAGTGGTGCCGGGATTGCGGCATCTCGAGACATTGGTGAATCAGTGCCTACCTCAGCAGAAGGATACGGTGCGATCGCTGCTCAGGGAAACCGAGTCCAGACAAGACGTGTCGAAGCCGATCGAGAGGTATAGAGGAAACAATTGTCGCGAATATCTCACAGCGAATTCGATCACCTAAGCTACACCGGATTGATGCACTCTAAAGGTCGCCACACACAAAGGCCTGTATTCTGAACTCTCTTTCACTGATAAAAGTGTCCCTAAAAGTAGCTTAGAAATTATTTGACTGACCATGACATGAAGCCGCATTTAAGGTGCTTCTATTGATAAAAAAGAGCTCAGAATACAAGCCAAAGTAATCGAATACAACGACATAACATAAACACTTTGACGATGAAATAATAAATATATATTCTGCTAAATAACGTGATATCATTATTACGTGCTCAACCGTGCCGAATGCTTGTATATTTTTTTATTGAAATAATCACTTCATGTATCCTTCAAGAAAGACATCTGTACATGACCCACTACGTACTCAATCATCATAATCGTGACAGTGAATTCCTAGGACCCACGTAAAAAAAATATTTTCTTAATAATTTTTCTCTAAAATTTTAAGATAGTTTTGAAAAGACAATAACACACTTACAAAAAGTTCCCAAATAAAAATTTTCTTAGGTTTTAAAGGAACAGCAGTAGTCACAGCATGCACCAATCCGGTATAATGCGGGTGATTGAATTCGCTATTATCGATCGCGACTCAATTTTAAAACTGTATCGTGAATCTAAATATAATATGTACAACAAAAACCGCTCTCCGACTCTTGACTGATTTTCACTCTCACAGGACACTTTCGATGAGCTCCGGGCTCTCTCTGTCTATGGCGACGGTGAACGTCGGCCAGGGTGTCGAGGACATGCGCCAGAGGATGAGCAAGATCTTCCAGCAGAAAACCGGATCGCCTAGCATGTCAAGCATCTTTCGCAAGAAATAAACTTATCCTTACGTTGTAACGTTAGATTAAGGAAATTAAGTATTACATTACACGCGTCGCGAGTGTCTCGTCGACTGCTCGTACAAAAATCAGCGAGAGACCAATCACGAGGTTATTGTTAGGACGTGGATGTTGTTTTAAAGGAGTGTTAACTTATTTTTTTATCGTGCTCTAGCTAGTAAGTAACGTGTAAATTATTTTGTTTAAACGTCAAAATAAGACGAAACGCTTCGGACAGATGGAGAATACGAATTTTCACTTTTTGTAAAAACCGGATATCGATAGCGTCGTCAATCTCTCTCTCTCTTTCTCTCTCTTTATCTCTCGCGTGCGCAATTTATCTCTTTCTGACGATCTCAGATCACGACAAGAGATCGATTTGCGTTTGAGAGAGAAGCAGAAAAAAAAGATTTAAAAAAAACGCAGCGCTTAACAGTAATTAATGTTTAATTTTGAAATCTGTTACTTTACATAGTAATAAACAAACGTCATATTCATATCGTATGTCATATCGTATATATATATATATCGCATATCATATATATATTTATATATAATACACAAGTGTTTTCCTCGTAAAGTAGTTACAAAATCAGACTTTCTAGGAATACACATCCTGTTGCTTTTTTTGTCTTGCTCTCGTTCGGTTCTGTTTCTTCGTTTCTTTTTTATTATTTTTTTGTATAATCACAGCTTATATACCGATGCGTCGACGAAACGTCGTTTATATTGTGTTTTTTTTCTCTCTTTTCCTTAAATCTTTCACGGTCAATCGATTAATCGTGACACGACGATCGTTGTTGTGTCGCGGGAGGGAAATAGGGGGCGGGGAGGGGTGGGAATTCGCACAATGCATACTCGCACTACTCCACGGGACTGTCGTCGCGGTCGAGTCGCGAAAGGTGCGTGTGGTCGCGTTTCGCCGTTATTTTATATTACCTTCCGCGCGGTGTAACTTTCGGGAAGTCCCGACGTGACGTCGACGGCAAGAAAACTCTTTTTTCAGGATTACTTCGTGAGAGAATTCCGGTCTCAAAAACGGTAACGATGCAGAGGAAGATCCGTGAAGATCCGCAAAACAATCTCATAGTGACATCCCGATAGCACCGTGGATAGCATGTCCCAATGAGGACTGATTACACACTTCAACCGATCGGCAAGAATCGCAGCAAAGAGTCGCCCGAGTGGCGTGTAATTGGCCGTACGCTGAATTAAAATTAAATTACAACGGACAGAGAATACTCTTTTTTTTTGCAATTATTCCCATTATTCCTCTCGTCTTTTTCGCGTCTCCCTCGCATCGTCTCTCCTCGCTCTCCCAATTGGCGTATAATCCCGTGGCTCGAATTCTCACGCTACGCTCGCGGACTTCCATATTGAATCATACCGATTATTGAAAAACATTACACCGCGCTCCTCCACCTCCATGTATGTACACGTAATATAAAAGAAAACTCGACGCGCGTCGCGCGTGTCAAAAGAGAAAAAAGGAAAAAGGCACACATGGAAAATCAAGACCCGTGTTAGTACGGAAAGGAAAACTGACCGAGGTCATTCGTAAATTCGCGTGTGCTTTTGTATCTGTCTGTTCTTTGTGCTACTTCTTGCGTCCTGTGTGTATGCGTGTATGTGTACGTGTGGGTGTGTGTGTCCTGTGACAAGGCGCGCGATACACGAATCGCTATTTGTCTTTTCGTAAATTTTACAGAATCCGCGACTATTCGCGAGTTACAAGTCGCGAATCGGGATCGCGCGCGCGACACGGCTCTAGTAATGTCTCGCACGGATCACAAGTCGTAAAGTCGCGAATTACATTACATACACGTACACCAACGTATGTAATTAATGCTTATGCAGCCTAAATTGTCCCGTGCTTATTATTATTATTATTATTATCACTAATATTATTATTATTATTATTATTAATAGTAATAGCAGTAGTAGAGTAGTAAGTAGGGTAGCAGTAATAGTAATAGTAGTAGAGTCGTAGTAGCAGTAGTAGTAGTAGTAGCAGTAATAGTAATAGTAGTAGTAATAATAGTAGTAATATATATATGCATATATAATATATATACATTGAATATTTACTACAATCGTTGGAGAGTGGCGGCGAAACGAGACTGCGTCCCGGTGATTCCGCGCGCGAGTGGTTCGCCCAGAAAAAAGAAAGAAAAAAAATATATATATGTATCGTTTTGTGTATATGAATTAATTAAAAACGCCTCGTAGGACTCTCGCCTGGGAGCGCGTGAGCGAACTGAGATCGATCCAATTGCCCCGCGCACCGGCGCTTCGCATTCGCATTTCGCGACGATTGACGGCCGACTGCTCGAGAGCGATTTCGGGTCTCTGGGCACCTAAGAAACCGCCTTTTTCGGATACACACATCGGATATTCGATACATCGAGAATAGCCAAGTGCGGGGGTACAATACTCCCGCGGACGAAATTTACAACGAGTGCGATCTCGCGAGAAAATCGTGCAACGCGCACGAAAGACGTTTCTGGCATCGGCCCATTCTCTGCAATTGATCGCGATCGTGCCGATTTTGCGAGCTGATCGATGCCAAGATCCTTGCATCAGGAATCCCGTGTTTCTCTCGCAACAACGTTTCGCGTCGTCTTGAAATTTGCTCCGATCGCATACTTTAGAGTTATATATATATGTTTATATAAATATTTTAGTGATAATATTTAGAATTATATCTGGACTCTTTTGGCACCTCTTGCCTCCCTCGGTGTAAACACGCTGAGTTCTGACGTTAAAAGAGCGATCAGTCGCGTGCGATTTATACAGTTTACGCGTGACTTCCGCCCTTCCAACGTCGCGAATATATTAACGTGACTACTACCGCGAGGTGCCAAGAGAACCACTCAGTTCCTAGTCTCTCGAGTCACTCGAGTTCCTAGTCTCTCCGCATGCGGTGACATTAGATTTTGATCGCGAGAGAAACTCTAGTTTACACAATACTCTACTCTCTACTTCAATAATATATATTCTTGTTTACGCAATACTCTACATACGCCCCCTCGTTACTGGAACCGTGAAATTTGGGAATCTCGGATCTCTTCTGGTTCCAATTGTCCGGTTGAAATCGTGCGTTTCACAATGTTTCACAATGCGATATAATAAAAATCACAAGGAGATCCGAGGGGATGCAAGTTGATCCAAGAGAGTACATGAGAACCGCCCGACCCGATCAACGCTCCGCAACTCGCAAAGTCAACTCCGCCGACTCGAGAAAACTGCAAGAATCCAAGAGAACATCTTTCAAGCGCGATTGTCTGAGAGTCAATTTTTACGTATCCGATATATCGTTTATTTGATTTATTCAACTCAATATTAACAAAAACAACTGACAATCCTATTTGAAACGCCCTGTTTTGTCTGTTGCGTGTACGTGTATATGTACTCGTGTGAGTGTGTGTAAGAGAGAGATGTAGTATGTATGTATATGTGTGTGTACAATAGACAAATGAAAAGGCAGCATCAATAAGTTCAAAGAATAGCAGTATACACGTCGACACAACATTATCCTGTTGCACCCTGTTCACAGGAGGTCGTTTTCTCGTTCTATTCCGTCCTCTCTTTTTTTTCCCCCTCTTTGCTATCATATCTCGTCAATCCGAGCTCACGCGCGCGCACACGTATAATCATTAACAAATATATATGCGCTCAGACACACACGCACGCACACACACACGCGCACATACACACACACACACACACACACGCACGCCCACATCCTCATTTTTTTCGTCCTTTCTTTCTTCGCTATATGTATCTGTGTGTATATATGTATGTAATGTATCTGTCTGTGTGTGTGTGTGTGTGTGTGTGTGTGCGTGTGTGTGTGTAGGTACATAGATTCGCGTCGTTATTAACACCTAAAGCCAAGCATCTCTGCTTATAATAATAATAAAATAATGACGATAATCATATAATAGAGCAATTAATAGTTATTAATAATATTAATATTGATAAATCGGTAATCATAATATACAACACACTCGAGGCACTTAAATGCGTGCTCAATTAATCGTCCCGATTCTCGCAGCACTAGCTCCGACCCAACTTGATTGGTATACTCCTCTTTTTTTCTTTCTTTCTTTCTTTCTCATTTTTTTTCTTTTCGAATCATCCATACACACATGTTTCCTCACACCATCCTAGCCGAATGAAAGCGTAATCCTAAGGGCTCTTAAACACGTCTTAAACACGCCTCGTTAGTCGGAGAGGATCGATAAGTAAGAAAGTAAGATCCGATTCGCGCAGTGAAGGATTGAAGGTTTGGGCGGTTTCGCTTAGAATTGAGGAGGAGGGGGAGGGAGGCGGAAGTGGAGCGAGGAAAAATCAAAAGTGGATCTCGGGGTTGGACGACGACGCTTCGTGGCTGTCCGCGTAGGATCGTCCACGGATGACGGAAAAACGCGTTTCGGCCCACTGTGTTCCGCGGCGCGCGCAGCCGCAGCGAACGAGACGGAAGAGCGCGGAATCGCAGTGTGAAAGGTCGGAGAGAGCAAGGGGGAACCGCACAATAATGAAAGACGAGCCCTTTCTCTCTCTCTCTCTTTCTCTTTCCCAGGGCAAGGGGATCGAATCGTCCGAGGGCTTGTCCGAAGTATGTGTGTATGTGTGTGTGTTAACAAAGAAACCGCCTCTCAAAGAGGGTCGATTTTGCCCCGGGACAGAGAAAATCGCGACGACCGAGCCGGAGGTTGTTGAGCCCTCGAGCTCGATCGTCGCGATTTCTCGTCTTCTTTTTCTTCTTTCTTCAGGATTGCCACAGAAAATGAATTTTGAAATTCCCTGACTTCTCCGTGTTTCCCAGAGTGGAGAATTTTTCACGTGCAATGTGTAATCTTAAACTTGAACGTTTAGAAGCAGGGATTGCAGGAGAGGCGGCTTATATTATCAGAAGCAACGCAAACTTAAAAGTTTAGTAACATAATGCAATCCTGAATTCAGGCCATAGAAGATAGTAAATGAGTATTGGAAAGAAAGAATATAGTTAAGAGCACTTAAGACAAAGTGAGCAACGTTCTAGATTTTTCAAAATTCTAGATTTTTTTTTATATTTTTCCACAGTTTTTCGCGGTTTCCCAGGTCTGTGGCAACCCTGTTTCTTTTTTTTTTTCCACCACCTGTGGGGCAATGGAGAGGTGGAATCGCGCGAAAGGGTCGAAGAGACGAAGGGAATGGAATCGCTTGCGGAAACCACGCACGAACTACGCTAAAAAGACGACGTCTCGGGATAATGTTTCATTCGTCGTGCGACGAGTCTCCCCCCCGTACGCAGAGCCCGTTGGCCTATGGGTCGTACGGAGGACCTCCGGAGTCCTGAGGTGATCTCTCGTCGGCCTCGGCGCCCTCCGGGGACCCTCCGTCCCCGGACAAATCAAAGATTAGTCTAAACGAAGCTTCGGCTCTTTTTAATCGGCCGAGCTTGAGCCGCGAAGAACCACGAGAGCGGAAACCGCGACAATTCGCCGGGGGATCCTGCGGGCCCCCGCGGCGTTTGACTCCGAGTCGAGGAGTCGAGCTCGCTTCGAATCGGCGAAGCTCGGTCCGACGTGGACCCGACGGATCGAGGAGTGATCGTGGTAAATGGCACAAGCGCCTGCGCGAAGAACGCGAACTGTCGAGAAACGCCAAGAAACATTAAAAAAAAAAAAAAAAAAAAAGTATACATCCTCTGTTTTCTTTCTCATGGGAATACATATACAATGTGTAAAGCATAACGTCCAAGAGACTTTCGGTAACTCTCGAGAGAGAGGAGAGAGAGGAGGGGAGAGAGAGAGAGAGAGAGAGAGACAGAGAGAGAGGAAGATTAAACGTATAATATACATATAAGTGACAATTCACGCGAGAAGTAAAAAGCAAACTACTGGTTTCCCATGACCATTAAATTGTTATCTCTGAAAAAAATAAACGAAAAAAGAAGGAAGGGGGGAAAAGACGACGGGGATTCAAGGCGAAACTCTCAGATTCTCGCGGGATCACTCCTCGATCTCTCGTCGCGACTCGTTCCGGTTTCGCTGCCGCTGTCGTTCTTCTCCGCGACAACCATCTATTCACCCACCCACCTCCCACGTATGTGCGCTCACTCGCAAATTCGAATTTGCGTCTTTCCCTTCCTACCGCCCTCCTCCCTCACACTTTTTCCTCATCGTCGTCATCGCGTCGTACGTTATCGCTTAACTACCGTTTCCGAGATACGATCTCTTCGTCCTCCGATTATCCTGAACTTTCTCCCAGGGATCGGGGAGCGTGTGTGAACGAGCGGAAATTTTACGAGGGGGGGGAGGGGATATTCCACCGCTTTCCACATGGCGAGAGTCTCGATTCGATGCCAAGTCCGCTTCGTTGCATTTATCTCGGGAGATTTCGTCAAGCGATGTGCTCTCTCTCTCTCTTTCTCTCTCTCTCTTTTTTTTCTTTTGGCACAAATATATGTATACATATAGACATGTTTTTCTTTTCCCGGTTACATTGCGGTCCTGTGCGTGAAGGAGGGGCGGGACAAAGGGTCTTTTTCCTTTTAAAAGATTAATTATCTTATCTCTTTAACGTTTTTACAAGCTAACAAATACGTACCTCCAAAATCACAGAACCAAAAGCGATATTATATAACAATATTCTCTCCCCTTTGCGCGATGTGTACCGGGTGATCGGGAAGCCACGTAACTGGCTCCGTACTCTCGTCGAGAGAAAGCTCGCATTCGGAAAGATGCGAGAGATACATATACCAGTTTCACGTAACACGTCTCTCTCGCGTGTATATATTCGAATCTCGACTCTCTTTTCTCTCTCTCTCTCTCTCTCTCTCTCTCTCTCTCTCTCTCTCCCTTTCTCTATATCGATTAATGTTAAACGTCAGCTTTATACGATCCACAGCGATCAATATAGAATTACTTAATTCCGAGCGATCATGTATGTATCTCGTATGTATACACACACACCCACACACCCACATATATATATATACATACATACATACATATGTATATACATACATATGTACACACACACACACACACACACACACACACACACACACACACA